TGAAAACATATTCATGAATAACTCAGATCAAATCTAAAATGACAAAGGTTGCACAGGCACCAAAACACAACACAACAAAGTCGTCTGGACATCTTGCTTTGTGAAATAACTCTTCTGATTAATCCCTGAATAGCCACATGACAAAAGTATCTGCTGGTTCAGATCTTTGCAATCTTTTTATTGCAAACATGAACAGGACATAATTGGCTGATCACATTCCAGGCATGAAAACATGTCAAATGTTTTTCATAAAGTACAGCTAACAAACATAAAATAATACTATTATTAGTATTCTCCACATTCTCCATTAAGGCATTTCTTATCAAATAAACAAAAGGATTGATATGGAATTTCTTACTGTCTCCTTTTTATCTCTCTTCCTATCCGCTCTTCCTTTTTATGAATAAAGAAAATCAAAAGTATTACTCACAGTATTTCAAGTATACTGTGTATTAATCTGAAAACCCAAAGCGTTAACATAAAACTCAGAGTAATCTGGGTAATTTTATAAAGTCAGCCTAAACAAAAGCTCTGAGGAAATTATAGAAGATAAAGTGAACAAGTGTAAAGTGTGTGTGTTTGACATGTTACAGGAGCTCGGTGACAGACAGAACTGACAAGAACCAAACATTTCCAGTATTAACATATTTGCTCGTTGATGGTTGGTTTTAAAGCCAGAACAAACAAACAAATGCTCTGAGATAAAAAAAAAAAAAAAAAAAAAAAAGATGGACTGGAGTGAATAAGTGTGAACAGTGTTTGGTACATTTCAGGTCAGTTCTATGCTCCATTTTGGAGAATAGAACTGACCTGCATGATCTTTTCAAAGTCATCGTCTTTTCTCACAGTCCCTCCACTGTGCTATTATTCGGTTATTGATGTAACACTTAAGAGATTTCCAGGTTTTATGTTTAAAAACTTCTGGAGCTGACCTGATGCAGTCTTCACATTGCCTTTTTCCTGGTACCCGTCCAGATGTTATGTAAGAGCTTGTTTTCAACCAGCTTCACCTCCTCTTCTGTCCATTTTCTTTTGGGGTATTTCTTTGACACACCTGGAAATGAAAATAATTTGACCACAAATTTCCAAACAGGCCAGACTCTAAAAATCTGTGTAGGATTTAGGGTTTATATGTAGAGGAACTTTAGAAATGCATGGAGATAGATTGTTCTGAAACTTTGTGAAGCAGAACAGAAAATATGTAAACAGCAGTGGCTCAGGAGGGGAAGGATTTGCCCAGTAATCGGAATGTTGCTTGTTCAATTCTGGCTCCTCCTGAACCTTTTCTGCACCGTCCTTGAGCAAGGCACCTTGCCTGGTACTTCAGTGTGAGTGTGTGAATGTTTGGCACTGATACATAAATGACTTTGAGAGCCTTAATGAGTAGAAAAGTGCTACAGAAATGTACCATTTAACGCACAGCTGAACCATAGTTGTACTTTCTTGAGCAGAGTTGTGACGAAGTTGAGGAGGAGCGACATCGCTTCTCTGGATGTTTCCTCTCACTCTTCCTTGAAGTCTGGCTGCCAGTTGAGGGTTTATCTCCCACAAAGAGTCCTGGTCACATATATGAGGTTCAAAGATGTTGTGCAGCAAATATTTAGATTAAAACATGTAAATTAAACTCTCCTGCTCACCAGAGAAACAAACTAATGTGAAGAGGTGGGGTTTTGTTCTTTCAGCATTTTCTAACAGGAAGTCAACGGCCATAATGTAAATGTAAATGACTGATGTGGGGATGAGAATAATGACAGTTATTTAAGCCCAACATCTTCTCCATAAAATTGTTAGTGTTTTTAGAGGATTTTTGAAGGCATCAGCACATGAACACTCACCTCTGCTTTCTCTGGAGATAAAGACTGTACGGCCTGATACTTGGTAACACCTGACAGAGTGGAACAGTCCAGATTTGACTCTGAAGGCTCCTGTTCAGATCGACAGAAGCTTGTGGTGAGACATTGTTTCTTACCTTTTGAGTTTTTCAAATATACACACACACAAAAACAACTTACTAAGGAGTTTTCTCTACTCGTTGACTGTAATCCAAGTGTGTCCTGATTGACAGGACATGGGTTTCTATCATCTGGGGCCTGATGGGTCCTGATGTGACCAGCACTTTTTTTTTTCTTTGAACCTTCTTTAGCCTAAAAAGGCATGATTTAGAGAATTAAATATTTGATTTAATATGAAAATTACATTTTCTGTTGTAGAAAACTATGGACAATACTTTTATACAATTCACTAGATTTTTATTTATGTCTGTGAGACAGAGGTTGTTTAATATTTATTACCACAATACAACATGAACAATTAATTCCAATATTTCACTATTAGGAGAAGGCCTACAGTGACTTAGGTTACTTCTACTTTACGCAAGTCATTTCCATTCAAGAAATTAAATGAAAAATTGACTAATATAAAAATGCGTCACCTTGTGTCTTGCTAAATGGCTCTGAAGGACAGGTAGACTGTCTAATCAGAGAAATTTAGTTCACATTCCCTGTAAGAAGATAACATCCAGTCCTACTGAAACTAATCAGAAACTTGCTGTGCTCAATGTCAGATCTTTATGTAACAAATCATTTCTAATTCATGATTTTATTTCTTCTTTTAATCTTGACTTTATGTTTTTAACTGAAACATGGCTTGACAAAAACACAGGTCAAGCAGTGCTAGTGGAATCAACCCCTCCCAACTTCAAATTTGAATCTGAAACACGAGCAAATAAAAAAGGGTGGAGGAGTGTGTGTGCATTTTTTAGAGATCATTTGGTTACACACAGGTTGTCATTTGGGGTGTTTTCATCATTTGAGTATGTTTCCTTCAAAATGGAGCTAAAACAATCACCGTCCAGACTCTACATCGTCATATACAAACCTCCTCAGCACTGTCAAAGTTTTATTGATGATTTTACTGAGATGCTTTCAGTTGTTTGCACAGACTTTGATGGTTTAGTCATTACAGGTGATTTTAATGTACATGTGGATAATGTGTGTGACAAAAATGCCAAAGAGCTTAGTGTTGTCCTTGAAACTTTTGGTCTGACTCAGCATGTCAGTGAGCCCACTCACAACAGAGGGCACACTCTGGACCTGCTCATTACAAAGGGTGTAAATATTTCAAATGTCAATGTGGTTGATGTTGCTCTGTCTGATCATTTCTGTGTCTTCTTTGACCTGTCTGTTATTCCCAAACCACCGGCTGCTCCTACAGTTGTTCGAAGAAGACACATAAATGATAACACAGGTGCACTGTTCATGGAAATGATAAATTTTGAAATTGCCTCATGTTCTAATGTTGATGATGTGTTGAACTCTGTGACTTTGAGTGTTTTGAATGTTCTGGATGCCATCGCCCCGATAAAGGTTAAAATGGTTAAAGAGGCAAAAAGCTCCGTGGAGGAATGATGACTCAGTCAGAGCACAGAAAAGGGAGTGACGGAGGGATGAGCGGAAATGGCGCAAGTCAAACCTCCAGGTTCATTATGAGATTTACAGAGGAACAATGCATATGTACAACTACACTTTGAGTAAAACAATAGAGAAGTTTTTTTCGGACATTATTGGTAATTGCAGTAACAACTCTCGTGTCCTGTTTGCAACAGTGAACAGATTAACAAACCCTCCAGCTCCACTGCCACTAGAACTAATTTCCACATCTAAATGTAATGAGTTTGCAGTTTTCTTTAATGACAAAGTTCAGGGCATCAAAAATGCATCAATTCCACAACACAAATAACAAGCATGCAGCCACAGAGACACTTAGAGCTGAATCACTTTGCACCTGTAACTGACAAAACTGTTTTAGAGATCGTTACCAGTCTGAGTTCATCTACTTGCTGCCTGGACATGTTACCCACTAGATTTCTAAAGTCCGTCCTCAACAGTTTACTTTCACCACTCACTCACATAGTTAACATGTCACTTCAATCTGGAACATTCCCAAACGCGTTGAAAACTGCGGTCATTAAGCCTCTCCTAAAGAAGAGCAGTCTTGATGCCACAGTACTGAACAATTTCCGACCCATCTCAAATCTGCCGTTTTTTGGCAAAGTCCTTGAAAAAGCTGTTTACCAACAGCTTACGAACTTTCTCCAAATGAACAACTCCTTTGATGTTTTCCAGTCAGGTTTTAGAGCCACCACAGCACTGAGACTGCTCTTATCAAGGTGACAAATGACATCCGCCTGAACACTGATGCAGGCAAAGTCTCAGTCTTGATCCTGTTAGATCTGAGTGCTGCTTTTGACACTGTCGATCATGGGATCCTCTTACAGAGACTAGAGGACTGGGTGGGCATCTCTGGTACTGTACTAAACTGGTTCAAGTCCTATCTAGAAGACAGGAAGTATTTTGTTGAAATTGGAAACTGTGTCTCAGATCACATGGCCCTGACCTGTGGGGTGCCTCAGGGGTCAATCCTGGGCCCCCTGTTGTTCAATCTCTACATGCTGCCATTAGGCCAGTTAATAAGCAGCAATAATGTGTCCTACCACAATTATGCAGATGACACTCAGATCTACGTCTCTCTGGCAGCAGGAGACTATGGACCAGTGGAGTCACTTGGTCACTGCATCCAACAGATCAGTGTGTGGATGCAAAACAACTTTCTCCAGCTAAACTCTGACAAGACTGAAGTCATAGGGTTTGGTCCACAGAAACAAAGGGACAGTGTCAGCATCACCTCCAGTCTCTCTCTCTAAAACCTTCAAATCAGGCAAGAAATCTAGGGGTAATAATGGACTCAGACTTGAACTTTAACAGCCACATCAAATCAATAACATCTGCAGCCTTTTACCATCTAAAAAACATAGCGAAAATCAAAGGTTTACTGTCTAAGCAAGCAAAGCAGACTTGGAGAAACTTATCCATGCGTTTGTCTCCAGTAGGTTAGACTACTGTAATGTCTGCTCACTGGTCTTCTGCTGGATCGCTGCCGCAGTCCTGGAGCATGTGTTGAAAAGCAGAGAGAGAGGAGAGCTGCCCAAGACCCTGACTCAGATGTACATCCACTTCCTGGTGGTTCAGGCCAAAGTCAAGAACATCAAGTATGAAGAAGGATCTGAGACAGACCCGCACTGGACTCTAGAGACCAGGAAGATAGTGGAGTCTCTGGGAAAACTGGCCTTTGAGCAGCTGCAGAAAGGAAACCTAATCTTCTACGAGAGTGACCTGAGCGAGTGTGGGCTGGACGCTGCAGCGGCCTCAGTGTACTCCGGAGTGTTCACACAGGTCTTTAGAGAGGAGCCAGGCCTGTACCAGGACAAGGTCTACTGCTTCATCCATCTGAGTGTGCAGGAGTTTCTGGTTGCTCTTCACATCCATCAGACCTTCATCAACACTGGGATCAACCTGCTTTCACAGAAACAAACATCATCATGGACAAAGGTTTTTAGCAGCAAATCAGTGCAGTTTTACCAGACAGCTGTGGTCACCTGGTCCTCCGCTTCCTCCTGGGTCTTTCACTGTCGACCAATCAGAGCCTTCTACAAGGTCTGCTGACACAGACAGGAAGTAGCTTACAGACCAATCAGAAAACAGCTGAGTACATCAAGAAGAAGCTGAGTGAGGATGTATCTGCAGAGAGGAGCATCAACCTGCTCCACTGTCTGAATGAACTAAATGATCGTTCTCTGGTGGAGCAGATCCAACAGTACCTGAGATCAGGACGTCTGTCTGAAGGTCGACTGTCTCCTGCTCAGTGGTCAGCTCTGGCCTTCATCTTACTGTCATCAGAAAAAGATCTGGACCAGTTTGAGCTGAAGAAATACTCTGCTTCAGAGGAGGTTCTCCTGAGGCTGCTGCCAGTGGTCAAGGCCTCCACCAAAGCTCTGTGAGTCTCCTTTGTTTAACAGAGGATGGTTTGATTCAACTTCTACATAAACAATGTTTTCTGTCTCCAGACTGAGCAGCTGTAACCTGTCAGAGAGAAGCTGTGAAGCTCTGTCCTCAGTCCTCAGCTCCCAGTCCTCTAGTCTGACAGTCCTGGACCTCAGTCTCAATGACTTGAAGGACTCAGGGCTAAAGATGTTGTGTGTTGGACTGAAGAGTCCTTACTGTAAACTGGAACAGCTCAGGTCAGAGGGGATCATATTCTTCACTATTAATACATAACCTGTTGGTATTTGCATTGGAAATTCACATTTGATAAAGTCACATAAAGATCTGGGACTTGTTCTTTGTCTCGTTTGGGTTGAATGTTTCTAATGAATGGACTGATTCCAATAATCTGTGTCCTCAGACTGTCGGGTTGTCTGCTCTCAGAGGAAGGCTGTGCTTCTCTGGCCTCAGCTCTGAGGTCCAACCCCTCCCATCTGATAGAACTGGACCTCAGCTACAACCATCCAGGAGACACAGGAGTAAAGCTCCTGTGTGCTCTACAGGAGGACCCCCACTGCACACTGGACACTCTCAGGTATGGACATGCTCGCCTGCTTAACACTCACAATCATAAATGACAGTGTCATGAATAAAAACAGACTTGAGAAGCACCAGAGGCCTGTGCACCACAGACTGAGAAGAGTGTTAGGGTCAAAAGAACACATCTGAATGTCACATGGAGTGAAAATGCTCTGAGACAAACTCTAATGTGGTGTGTTTCCTTCAGACTATGACCTGCTGGAGAATGATGGATGAATCCAATCCGGAGATGTAAGTCTGACTTAACCCATTTAACTCTGGTCTGGTTATGATTTTATTTGTGTCACACAAACAAAGCATCTGTCAGCATTCTGTTACACAACCGGCTCATTTTTGAGGGTCACAGCATTTCCTTTTTGAGCGAGTTCAAACACTGTTGTGATGTAGAGATGTAGAGTTTCAGTGGTAATCATCTGGGGCCTCATTTATAAAAACTGCGCAGGAGTTGTCGTAAGTTAGTGCGTACGCCTAGTAGCTACGACAGGCGTGTGCCACGCAAACTCCATATTTAGAAAACCCACCGCACGCACCAAACCACGTAATCTTTGCTTTATAAATCCCACCTGCAACTACAATTTGCGCACGTAAACCTACGTCACGTCACGCCCCCTCCACACCTCCACCTCACCATAAAAGGAGCATGTAAAGTGACTCGTGAATGAGATTTCCCTAAACATGAGCCGATAATCAGAGGGTTTGACCGAGACACGCGGGACAGAGGGAAGAGGACGCTCCACGCAGCCCCACGTGATCACGACAAAGACTTTATTAAAGACTTTATTAAACAAGGTTTAATAAATAAATACAAAACTAAAATGACAACAATGACTCATCTGTTCATTTAATCATTTTTTATAATATTTAGGCAGCACATCTTTGCAGTAAAACACATGTGTTTTTTCACTGTTTCAAGAGTTTTATCGCTATATTTTTAAGTCTGTCTATGATGTGTGTATGTGGACTGGCCCTGTGTATATATATACATATACACGTAGATACATGCACGCGCTAATCTGAATGGTCAAATTATGAGCGCGTGCGAGAGATTCAGATGCCCTCAACTGGAGAGGGAAAGGAGCGAGGGAGGGACACGAGGACACGAGGACACAGATTTAGCATGAAACACATCAGATACAGAAGTTATTCTGCCAATTAAAGTCCACATGATACATCCAAACTGCTGAACCTGTGAGTCTGGGTCTGGGTCTGTGAGTGTGGGTCTGGGTCTGTGAGTGTGGTCTGTCTGGAGTGTGGTCTGTCTGTGAGTGTGGGTCTGGGTCTGTGAGTGTGGGTCTGGGTCGGGACGGGCACGGGCATTATTCTGTTCTTCATACAGTCAGAGAGCAGCTCTCATGTGCTCAGTTCCCCATTACACAAAAATGTAGGGAAGATTTTGGTTGGGGTCAGGTTTGGGCAGTAGGCTTCGTGTTGTCCGCAGACTCAGGTCACTCTGGCGCTCGGTGCGTTAAGACTAAAGTAAAAGTGTTAAAGTTGCGTTCATTAAATCAAAGCCTGGCTCCTGCTGCGTTCAAGGGAAGAGTTTTCTCTCAGGTTGGGTCATTATTTCGTCCTCTGTGTTGGTCACAGTCTGTGTTCTATAGAAGTCTATGGTCTTGGTGTGGACTGTGGGAGACTCTGCGCTACACCGAGTCCGGGAATGTGGCCGCGCTCGTGCACGAGTGTCAAATGTATAATATTGTGGAGAATAATGAGTGGAATAAACAGCCCTTCTCCATATTTTGGCGAACCAAACACTTAAATGCGCAAATCAGAAGGTAATTCTTCTATATACGTGGATTTTCTGATCAAACACTTCCTCATACTCTGTTCACTTCTGCTTCTCTCCACGAGTGTCGCTTTTTCCCCGTGTCTCCAGACTTTGCGTAGAACTTACAGGAGGTCAAGCAAGGTTAAGCAAAGAGCCACGCCTTAGGCGAGTTTTATAGATACCGCGGTTGGCATAGGAAGCGCGCACGCACGGATTTTTGCGTAAGCAAGCTTTATAAATGAGGCCCCTGGACACTTAGTGTAGGAAAGTGTGGAGTGACGTCAGAGACTGGAGCTGCACTTTGTCACTGCAGCAACAAATTCCAGAGAAATCCAGATTTACACTGAGAATAATCTGAAATAGACTCCAGATTTACACTGAGAATAATCTGAAATAGACTGGTGTGGGGCTGTGAAAGGAAATGTTTTTACACTTACATAAATCTGAGACAAACAGAAGAGTGGAATGATGAGAGTGGACAGGGGACTAACTGCTGCTGTGTTGTGTTTTCTCTCCATCAGATTTCTGTGATCTCACTCTGGATCTAAACACAGCGAACACTAAACTCAAACTGTCTGACAACAACAAGAAGGTGACACATGTGAGAGAGGAGCAGCCGTATCCAGATCATCAGGACAGATTTGACTGGGCTCAGATTCTGTGTTCCACTGGTCTGACTGGTCGCTGTTACTGGGAGGTCCAGTGGAGTGGAGATGTTTGTATATCAGTGTCTTACAGAAGAATCAAAAGGAAAGGAGACAGCACTGACAGTTTGTTTGGAGGCAATGATCAGTCCTGGAGTCTGCAGTGTTCTGAACGTGGTTACTACGTTTTTCATAATAACAAACAAACCCAACTACGTCAGCGTTGGTTCTCCTCTTCTGGGAGAGTAGCAGTGTTTGTGGACTGTCCTGCTGGCTCTCTGTCCTTCTACACAGTCTCCTCTGACCAACTGACCCACCTCCACACCTTTAACACCATATTCACTCACACTCTGATCCCTGGGTTTAGGCTCTGTTATTATGACTCCTCAGTGTCTCTGTGTGCTCCGACACACTCACTCTCCACTGTGTAAAATAGTTAGAGGTGTAATGATATTGGTGATATCTTGATATTGTTGAAGTAAAATTGCCATGATATCGTCGTGGTCTCATCTCATATTAAACTGTGTCTTTAGGTAAAAATAAGAACGACACAACCTCCATGAGGCTTTTGACTACAGTCTTATTACACTTGTTTAGTTGTTACTTGAATTCTGCACTTCAACTTCAAAGTCTTTTCAGTCTGTTCAAAATGACACCGATATGAAAATGACAATAAATGTTTTACCAAATGACTGGTCAAAACATTTAACAATGTCAGTCTTGTTATTTTGTAGAATAATATCGTAATATCGTGGGCCACACACACAGACACACACATATAAGGTTCACACTGTCACCAACCCGTGTCACCTTTATCCCTATTTGTATGAAATGTTCGTAATGTCTGTCTTGTATCTTGTGTGTTGTTTGGTTCCTATTTGTTGTAATGTATGTAGTTTGCTGTTTCCAGTGGCCGCTGCAATTGCAAGTACTATGTGACATCACACACGACTGCTCTGATTACAACAAAGTGTTTCTGATTACGAACAGACAGCTGCAGAGGCGGAGTTATTTCTGATATGAGACAGAGCTACAAACGGAAATACTGCTTTGTCCGTAGTAAGGCATTAAACTTATCTATATCCACGGAAACAAAAGTGTGGCACCCCCAGACTTAGAGATCAAGTCTGTGGAGAGGCAACGTAATTTATTCATATCTGTACAAATAAATATTAGGTATGTTTAATGTAATAGTGTGAAACATTCCAGGTAAAACAATAACATCTCCATGGAAACTGTCCACTAGAATTTGCATAGTGTAGCTTTAAATAATTGAAGACACTATATTGTAGCACTATATTCATACTTCTTTGATGTATTTCCAAAACTTTAATCAAGTATGTCAAATATAATTTCCGGAGTAATTTCCCAGAGAAGTTCTTTATTTTGTGCGTTGTTTTGTCAAAGAGCTGAAAGTTCCTCTCAGTGTGGAGTCTCTCTGAGTGTCTTCAAAGATGAGACAGACGAAATGGCTCCATTTACAAAAACAACACGAGGTGATGGAAAAACAAAGAGCTCTGATCTCTCACACATTTACATTGTTCTTTCAAAAGTCCAAAATATAAAAAAATATAAGGCTGTGTTCTTCCTTCAAGGTGACCAGGGCTTCCACTTTCATGTAGCTTTAATTTGCTTCATCAGTTAGTAAAATTAATAATGCTAAATTCAAGTTTATTAAAAAAAATAAAAAATAAATCTCTGAATCTTCAACACTGATTCAGTGATAAAGCATAAATACTGCATTGTGCCCAGAGTAGCTAAAAAATCCTGATTTATAAATAATGAGGCAACAGTGGTTTGAGCTCCACAACAGATGTTCAGTTGCTGAGAGGAAAAAATAAAGAATTTCTTTTGAAACAGTTGCATTTAGCCTAGTTATTTTTTATTTTATTTTTATGAATGGTGGTGCAAATGGACTTGTATTTTCATGTAATCATCCAAGTAATGTGCCGCCTCCAGAAAGTTACACACTCAGTGTTGGGAAGGTTACTTTTAAAATGTATTTTCCTACAGATTACAGATTACACACACCAAAATGTAGTTTGTAACATAATCCATTAAATTACTTAAAGTGAGTAACGTAAACTGAATACTTTGGATTACTTGATTTGCTGTAGAGAAGCAAAGTTTAGTCCTGGTTTAGTCCTGGTTTAGACCTGGTTTAGCCCAAAATGTGAAAACAGGAAATACCACCATGTAACCCATTTATTTCAGCAAAGTAACTGTAATCCAATTACCACTCATGGAAACAGTAACTGTAACTGAATACAGTTACTCATAATTTGTACTCTGATTACGTAACTCCAGTACATGTAATCTGTTACTCCCCAACACTGGGCCTTTATAAAGACGACAATAAAACAATAATAACAGTTTCCGATGCAGCAGGCCCAGTTAGTGAATCTACTTTACCACTATTTATCTTTAAGAAAAAACAAACTCAGTTGTGACTTATTTTTGCCCTCTGCGATCACCACCTGGAACAACATTCATCAAGATCTGGAGATACAGACTCTGACCAAGCGGAAATTAAACTTGTGTGTGAGTGTTTGTGATTTTGTGTGGACAAACGTGGACATGCTCTGTGGTGTCTCTCTGTGGGACGGTGCCGGGTCCTGCAGCAGTGTCACAGGTGTCTAAACAGAAGCGAGTGGAGACGAACAAAAGGCCAAACGAGCCTCGAGAGAGAGAACTGTCAGTGTAACCTGATCTTCAACTTTCTTCAACTCTCCTCAACTCCTCCAACTGCACAAGAACCGAGGACACAAAGGGACTCAACAAGTTTAGTCTAAGATAACACTGCAAAAACCGATATCAAGGTAAAATAAAACAACTTAAATTAAGAACAATTTTGTTTATTTGCGTAGATTCAACTTGAAAACATGTGTTTTCTTAATTCAAGCAACTGTAGATATTGTTTCTTATTTTAAGTGCTAAGAGTTGTTGTTTTTCTTATCTTAAATGTGCCTCTCCATAGATCTCACCTGTAACTTGGTCTGGTTTGGTCTCCATGAAGATACTGGGAAACATTCCAGACAAAAGCATTAATATCTCCCTGGAGAAAAACATTTGCAGAATAAAGTTACATAGTGCACCTAAGTGTAGCAAAACATATTTTCATGTTTTAAGTACAAAAAGTCTTGATCCATTTGCAGATTAATTTACTTGTCAAGTAAAATTTACTATCTTTATTTTATTTACTACTGTTATCATGATAAAAGTTCAAGTACCGTATGTTTCGGACTATAAGGCACACCGGATTATAAGGCGCAATATCAATAATGTTGAATTATCTCATCTATTTTCATACATAAGGTGCACTGGATTGTGAAGTGAAACAAACAACACTTGAGACATCCTAAGCCCAGGCGTCCATGATTCATTTGCAGATCGTGACGTAACTCGCACGGTGTTCCCTCCCAGTCTTGGTGAATGTGACTACCATATTTTCCAGGCTATTAGACAAACTCTTAAGCCTCCAACCCGATCAAAAACGACTGTGCGCCCCACAATCCAGAGTGCCCTATACACGAATCCACTCAGGTGTCCCAGCACGACTTCAGTAAACTACAAAGCCGCACCACCTGCAGAACACACAAACACACACGGAGCAGACAGCGACTGCACGGCAAAAAACAGCCACACTCATCACTCCACGCCGACGAGGAACGGAACGGAGGAACGAACCGAAAAAGTGAGTGCAATGTGCCACTTCTAGACACATCTGAAACCCGCATGTGCACTGGAGACACGATGATGTCAACCGCAGCGAGCGTGCTCTGTGTTTACAGAAGTTGTCCAAACATGGACGTGAGCATTGAGCACCTGGAGATTTTAAAGTTCCTCTCGTACCGGAGCCAGAACATGAACAACTTACTTGTTTTAAGGAGGAGATTGAGAAGGAGAAGGACGAGGTTTTTGGCCGTGGTGTTTTGTGGGGCAGCGTCAGCGACGTCCATTGAAAGGAACGTGTGGATGTGGAGACGTAGCCAAGAGTGGTGAGTGGTGATGTGCTTCACTTCAGTGACACAGAGTTCATTAACAATTTTCGCCTACTTCAGCGCAGAATAGTGACATTTGTGGCTTGTTGATAACGTGTAGGTGGATGAATGCACTTTGGCCGTTCAGACTGAAGTCACATGTCAAAAGATCAGATATGTATCAGTTTTAGGAGCACATATCCAAGTGTCCTGGGTCGCTGTAATAGCCTGGTGGCAACCTTAGCGGTTTTAGGAGGAACAGAGTCAAGTTGAGCCAGTTTAAAGTGCAGATCCCAGTGCATTTATTAAAGACAAAACAAAAACTATTTACAAAAATTCCAAAAAGGTTAAAACAGGCATAGCAGTTACCTGCGCTCACACAGCACCTCCCCCTAAACAAGGTGAGGCTGGCTTCTTTTAAAGGCCCTGTACTAATTGGGTGAGCCCACTTTAACGATCAGGTAAGCTCCAATAATTTGTACATTTAATATCTAAAAAACAACTATCCAACAGTGCCCAAACAACATCCAATTACATTAATTACAAAAATGTATATATCTTTATTTAAATTAGCAGTGTTCAATGCCCTAAAATACTAAATAGAACCAGTTAAAAAATTGTGCTCCCCTCCTCCAAACAACATGGTTGGCTGCCCCGGAACCTTCTTAAGGTGCTCTGGCTCCCCAGGGACTCTTTTGGCCGGAGCACCTGAGGCAAACTACACCAGAGGGTAAGTACAATTTCTTAAATTTAAATGCACTTTTACTTTTTCCCTTTTCTTTTACAGGTAACTTCAATCTGCACATACATTTTCAATAAACATTTCTTAAACTTTGTTTCAGTTCCTCATTTTACCTTTTAACTAGCCCCTAGGCCCAAGTAATGGACTGGCTACATTACAGTCGCATTTGAAAAAATCAGATCTGTGGGGTCATTAAAAGATCAGATACAGGTCACATAGGGGCCAAAAAGTTTGATTTGGGTCACTTAAGGCTGCAGACTGAACATAGCCTTTTTCACATGGAATTAGTTTCACCTAGGTACGTCTGTAAAATTGATATTACCCCATGACGTATGTGTTTTTTTTTTTTGTTGTTGTTGTTTTTTTGTGTACATTCACATAAAAAAGCAATGTCATCAAACTCCCATTTTTTCTGGAAATGGCGACTGATAAAAACACGAAACAAGACAAGTACCTTTTAACTCATCATTATCACCAACTTTGTTTTTATCTTCAGTTTGTTTTTAACAGAATGCACCTGCACTGGAGCGTCAAAAACACCGGGTTTCTTACCATGCTGATCGGCGATTAAAAGAATTTCTTATGAAACAGCCACAGTCTCTCTCTGTTAATCTGTTCACGCTACACGGCCCCTCTATCCAGACTTCACAAACACAAAGCACAAAAAGCACTCAGACTTCTCCTGGTCCTTGGTTGCTACGACAACGGG